ATAAAAGTATATACTGTATTTATTTCTAATTTTCACTTTTTGTTCTCTCTCTCTCTGTGTATATATATATATATATATATATATATATAGGCATGAGGATTTGAACAAGGGCCAAATTGTAATGGCTAAACAACTGGGTCAGAGCACCTCCAAAACTGCAGCTCTGGTCTGCAGTGGTCAAGACCTACCAAAAGTGGTCCAGAAAAAGAAAAGAAAACAGGTGAACCCAAGACAAGGTCATGGGTTGCGAATAGCTCACTAATGCACTGATGCATGTGGGGAGATAAGGCTAACCTATGTAGTCTGATCCAATAGAAGAGCTACTGTAGCCTGCGTTAATTTCGTCAACAAAAATATTTTCGTCGGCTAAATTAACACTATTTTAGTTAACTAAAATACCACTAAAACTAAAACAATTCAGATTACTAAAATATGACTAAAACTAAAATGGCGTTTTAGTCAAAAGACTATGACTAAAACTAAATCGTAATTTGACGTCAAAATTAATACTGACTGTAGCTCAAATTGCTGAAAAAGTTAATGCTGGTTCTAATGGAAAGGTATCAGAACACACAGAGCATTGCAGGATGTTGCATATGGGGCTGCGTAGCAGGCTGCCCATGCTGACCGTTATCCACAGCCAATAGTGCCTACAATAGGAGCGTGTAGAGAGGTGCAGAGTGGTGCAGGCAGTAAACACAGATTCCAGTTGTAGCAAAACTTGAAACTTATATTAAACAGAATGCCAATGTTACAGATAACTTAATAGGAGAGCATCGCTAGGGAATTAACTCACAGCTCGGCATAGTCAGAAATGTAGAGGGAGAGGTGCTGACAGCATCTGTTTCAGAGGGTGAAGTGTGGCCTATCAAATCTGGTCCCAAGTGGGAAGCTCCTTCTTAGACAGCAGGTCTCTAATCTATCCCTCCTTGACATGAACATTTCCTTACCACTAGTTAAGTGTGGTTTCTTTCCCTACACTAGCCACATGCCCAAAGCATGCCAAAACCCAGGGGCCAGTGACTTAAATAGACCCTGCAGACCCAAAATGGCCACCGTGGGCCACATGGGGTCAGTGCAACCAGCCAACCAGAATGCAGCTCCATTGACCCAGGAAACCACAGAGAAATGTTGTTTCTCCTGGACTCGCTTGAGCGCCACCTTCAGTGAAGAAAACAAACCGCACCTGCCTACATGCATGAGCATCAGAACTGGACCACAGAGCAATGGAAGATTTCTTTAAGGTGCTGATGTGGCCTGCAAGTTCTCCAGATCGCAATCCAATCAAGCATCTGTGGAATGTGCTAGGAAAAACGAGTCTGATCCATGGAGGCTCACATCACAGCTTACAGGACTTAAATGATCTGCTACTAATGGCTTGGTGCCAGATATCACAGCTTACATTCAGAGTTCTAGTGGAGTCCATTCCTTGATGGGTCAAGGCTGTTTTAGCAGTAAAAGGGGGAATCCTCAAATTTGGTGGGTAGTCTTATTGTTATGGCTGATTGGTGTATATTCCTTGCTGTGTTATTGCTGTTGTTTCATTTTTATTTCATCATAGAGGTCTTGCCTATACAACATCCTTAAATATTCCCCACCCAGCCAGGTGTGTCAGAGTGTGTGGGGAACCAACACATCAAGCGTCTCCTTTGGGGTGAGTGCTAGATTTATCTAACTCAAATATATCTTTTCAATGGATTCAGGTCTTTAAATGGTACTATGTAACAGGCAGAGGAAACATTAAGGACATGTAGGGATGATACCATTAAAGCCCTGTATTTTACTCACAAGTATAGTCATATCACAGTCAACAAAGTAAATGTTAATTGAAAACAAAGTTCTTTTAATACATGTTATTATTAGATATGCCTGCAATATGAACATAAGGCTTACTCTTTAAACAGGTCAAACACATTTGATATGGCCAACCACAATCTCTTTTCCTCTGTCCACTCTGATTTGGCTTTTATTACAGCTATTAGAGTGCCCTTTGTTGAACCTTTCCACACTCCTTCCGTACTCTTTACTACCTATTCCCCATTCTCCTCTATTTTCATGTTCTAATGTGATAGTTTCATTCCTTTTTCCTTTCCCATCTATACCTCTTCTGCAATAATATCTTCCCACGGCTGTGCATTGCTGATTCATTCTTGAAAGCTGCTTTCTTCTGCAGTTTCCTTCCTGACTTTCTAATGCCTCCAACAATATATTTTAAAATTCCAACTCTAAAAGTTTTAATAAGTCTATCGCTGCATATTTCTTCCACATAAAAGAATAAGCCAGTCCAATAGTTAAAATCATTGTATTTTCTAATCTCCACAGTTCTCTCCCAAATAATGCTTCCTGATGTAATTATATGGTGCCAAACAGTTATCAAATTGTGGCCTCCAGTAAAGGTACACATCTGTCTATTAGGAATTACCAACATGCATGTTTTTGCCTTTCAAATTGTACTTACAGCTCCAATCTTCCATAGTTATGATTTAACCCTTTTGTTACTAGGTCTTGCTCTCCACTCTTAAACTCAGGTGACCATACCATTCTTGCAGTTTTTTTCCATTGCTTTTTTATTTTTCCCTTACAGCTTTCAGAGTTTGTAAAAGACCCCATAAACCATATATTTTCTAAACATACATAACCAGTAGAATAAAAAGGTGCTAGTGATTTTTAGGGCAATACGATATTTGCAAACACAGAAAATTTACAGAAATCCTGCTAATTTTCTACTACATATGAAAGCTTAACCTTTATTGAGTTAGAAAAAACAAATATGTGTACATTTTAAATTGTGCCCTTTTGTGAAATGGTGAAAATCAAACTTACACAAAAATGTAAATACAGTAACCATATTTTTCTTTAAAAATCTGGAGGTTTTCATTCTTCACTTACAGCTTTCATAGTTTGTAAAAGACCCCCCAAACCATATGTTTTTTTTTGAAAGCACGTGACCAGTAGAATAAAAAGAAGGTGCCACTAGGGGATTGGGGTTTGTGAAGGGGGGATTGATGCTGGGGGGGGGGGGGCTGGGTAAGACAGTGTAAGGGAGAGTTAGAGTGGGTATAGGGGGGGCATTATAGCTGTCAGCATAAGTGGGTGGAGGGGCGGGAGACATTGGGCAGAGAAGCGGCAGTAGATGAGGATTGTCACATTTTAGGTAAACAGCTATATTTGTTCAGCAGCATCTGCTGAACAATTCTGCTATAAATTCATGGTTACTGAATGAGGAATACAGGACCATACAGCAAACTAACCTGGCCAGCTAGAAGCAGTGCTGTAGGTCTGTACACCATACGGACCTGGCAGTGAAAGGCTTAAAGACTACAACTGGAGTTTCTCTCTGTTTTTTTTTCACTCCTATAGATCTTAACAGCTGTCTGTATAACCATTCGGCCTGTATGTTTCGGTATATTGCATTAACTCTACATGTGTTAATGCATGGTACATTACGGTAGCCCTCATTCATTTGCCAGAAAAGACAAAAAATTGGATGTGCAGCCTTATTACTATACTGCAGTGTAACACAACACATGCTGAGTGCCCCCAGAGCAAGCTGCTTGCTATGGGACCATGCATGCGTGCTCATTCCCGAGCTGCCCCTGTGTATCTATAAGACATATGATTGGCAATGGCTCCACATGCTGCATATCAGCCAAGGAGGAGGGAGAGACCCGGAAGAGCTGAGGCTCCCATGCACAGCGCTGGATATAGATCGGGCTAAGGTAAGTATTAGGGAGACTGAAGGGGGAGCTACACACTGAAGGTTTTTTACCTTCATGCATAGAATGTGTGAAGGTAAAAAATCTTTAGAAACAGTTTAAGCAGGTAAAAGAACGCCATGTGTAAATACATACAGTAAATGCTCATACAGTAAAGACATTTTTTGACTGGAAATGGAAAAAATAATTTTGCCCTCCATATTTGGACAGGCTTCTTCACAGTAAGAGCTGTGAAAATGTGGTATTGACTCCCCCAGGAACTGGTTCTAGCCAGCTCAGTTGCTTAAAAAATGTTGAATGAATTTTTGAATACATCGAATATAACTGGCTATGAACGTCTACGAGTAATAGATTGTTATCACAGTGAATATTTGATTGCCTTGGGAGATCAGAAAATAATTTTACCCTGGATGAGAAATCTGAACCATGCTTAAAGGTTTTTATACCTTTCTCTGGGTATAGGGTTCTTTATATGGAGATTTTCATTGTATTATTTTTTTTATTGGTTTAATAAAATCTGACTAACTATGTAGTCATGTACCATCTCAGCCATGGTGCTTGACACATTTAGTTTCTATCTTTTTTTTCTCAGGTAAAATGTTAAAACATGCATTCCTTAGCATGGCTAATTGCTATAGACAGCACAAAAGCAGCATTTTTGGGTGTTCAACTCACGCTACAAACTAGGCGAGCGCAGTGCACGTTAAACATAATTGTATCATTTGCTAGATGTGCATGAGTCACCTGCCTGCTCATGTGATCATGCATTGCAAATATAATGTATCTCCATGCTCTTATGAAATACCATTTAGTAAATCAGATCCGTTGACACATTGCAAGTCTATGTTACCCCAACATTTCATTTTTTTTGATATGTGTCTGTTGTACCATGTACGTGTATGAAAAGGTATTCTGTTCTCTTTGTATTGCTTTCTTTGTGTGAAATACCTTGTGATCTTGGTAGTACCCTTGCTTTTCTATTTCAAACTGACAATGCTTGGCATGCAAGCACACCCATCCCAATGTGGTCATTTTGCTTCTTTGCATTATATGTAGGACCTCAGCCTCCAGTCCTCCAATGGTCAGACTTCTGCTGATGTGCCTCCCTCCACAGTTCTTCACTCAAAGGATCAGTGTACTTCTGTGTCTCTGCCTCCTGCTGACATGCTCCCCAGTCTCCACCCCTACATCTTTAAGCACCTTATGCAGCAGAGAACAGGGGACATGTGATCACTTTTTAAAAAAAACTAAAAAAAGGTATTTATAATGTGTATATCTAAATTTATATACACTGTATAGTCCAAAGTATTGGGACACCCCTCCAAATCATTGGATTCGGGTGTTCCAATCACCTCCATGGCCACAGGTGTATAAAATCAAGCATTTAGGCATGCAGACTGCTTCTACAAATATTTGTGAAAGAATGGGTTGCTCTCAGGATCTCAATGAATTTAATTGTGGTACCGTGATAGGTTGCCACCTGTGCAATAAGTCCATCCGTGAAATTTCCTTGCTACTACTGTGATGGATATGGTAAAATGCCTATCTGGTTTCTTGTTGAATATATACATATTTCTATACATTTTTATACATATCTACTTTTATACTTTTATATTTTCATATTTCTAAATGCTTTAATGCTTTGTATGAATATACAGTGGGGATCGAAAGTTTGGGCACCCCAGCTAAACATTTGTATTAATGTGCATAAAGAAGCCAAGGAAAGATGGAAAAATCTCCAAAAGGCATCAAATTACAGATTAGACATTCTTATAATATGTCAACAAAAGTTAGATTTTATTTCCATCATTTACACTTTCAAAATAACAGAAAACAAAAAAATGGCGTCTGCAAAAGTTTGGGCACCCTGCAGAGTTAATATCTTGTACTGCCCCCTTTGGCAAGTATCACAGCTTGTAAACGCTTTTTGTAGCCAGCCAAGAGTCTTTCAATTCTTGTTTGAGGTATCTTTGCCCATTCTTCCTTACAAAAGTCTTCCAGTTCTTTGAGATTTCTGGGCTGTCTGTCACGCACTGCTCTTTTAAGGTCTATCCATAGATTTTCAATTATGTTGAGGTCAGAAGATTGTGAAGGCCATGGCAAAACCTTCAGTTTACGCGTCTTGATGTAATCCCCCGTGGATTTCGAGGTGTGTTTAGGATCATTATCCATTTTGTAGAAGCCATCCTCTCTTTAACTTCAGCTTTTTCACAGATGGCATCAAGTTACCATCCAAAATTTGCTGAAATTTTATTGAATCCATTTTTTCCTTCTATTCGTGAGATATTCCCTGTGCCACTGGCTGCAACACAACCCCAAAGCATGATTGATCCAACCCATGCTTAACAGTTGGACAGAGGTTCTTTTCATTAAATTCTGTGCCCTTTCTTCTCCAAACGTACCTTTGCTCATTCCAGCCAAAAAGTTCAATTTTAACCTCATCGGTCCACAGAACTTGTTTCCAACATGTATCAGGCTTGTCTATATGTTCATTTGCAAAGTTCAAACGATGATTTTTGTGGTGAGGACGTAGAAGAGGTTTTCTTCTGATGACTCTTCCATGAAGACCATATTTTTACAAGTATCTCTTTATAGTGGAATAGTGTACCACAACTCCAGTGTCTGTCAGATCTTTCTGGAGGGATCGTGCAGTCAAACGTGGGTTTTGAATTGTTTTTCTCACAATCCTGCGAGCTGTTCTGTCTGATATTTTTTTCTTGGTCTTCCAGATCTTGCTTTAACTTCCACTGTTCCTGATGACTGCAACTTCTTAATTACATTCTGAAAAGAGGATATTGACATCTGAAAACGCTTTGCTATCTTCTTATAGCCTTCTCCAGCTTTGTGAGCGTCAACTATATTCAGTTTCAGTTTTCTAGACAACTGCTTAGAAGAACCCATGGTGCTGATTGTTGGGGCAAGGTCAGATGAGTCTGAGGGCATTTAAAACCTTTGAGATTGACATCACCTGGTCTTCCCAGATCATGATTGAGAACAATCCATGACACTGGTAGGTCTCAGCTTGGCAAAGGGGGCAGTGCATGCTATAAATTCTGCAGGGTGCCCAAACTTTTGCAGACGCATTTTTTTTGTTTTCTGTTATTTTTAAAGTGTGTAAATGATGGAAATAAAATCTAACTTTTGTTGACATATTATAAGAATGTCTAATCTGTAATTTGATCCTTTTGGAGATTTTTCCATCTTTCCTTGGCTTCTTTATGCACATTAATACAAATTATTAGCTGGGGTGCCCAAACTTTCGATCCCCACTGTATATATATATGTGTTGTGTGTATATCTGTTGTCTGCTGGTCTTTGTAGTCCTCCTTGCTCAAGAAATGTCTGCTCACCAACCCCCTCCAATTGTGCCAACTTGAGAACAAAGACATATTTTTCTTTCTATAGATAAAGACTTAGAAGAAGATCACGCCTATACTCTGACGAAGATTGTTTTTTGTGTGGAAATGACCAATCAAAGACTAATATAATGCGTATGCAGTGCTCACATGACTCTTGCATCATTTTGCATTTATAAGCTCACTTTCTCATTATAATAAACTAGAAGTGTTCATATAGACTGAACTTATATGTGTCAGCGTGAGTCTCTTCCAGTGTGCGCACATTCCAGAACTAGCTAGAATGATTAATTTGGACAGGAGCAGATAATCACCGGATTCTTAGTCCTCATCTAAATCACTACATATTCCACACTCAACTGTAAGGGAATTATGACAAAGTGTAAGCGACTGGGAACAACAGCAACTGAGCCACAAAGTGGTAGGCCAAGTAAAATAACAAAGCGGGATCAGCGCATGCTGAAGCGCACAGTGCTCAAAAGTCGCCAACTGTCTGCAGAGTCAATAGCTAAAGACCTCCAAACTTTGTGTGGCCTTCAGATTAGCACAACAACAGTGCATAGAGAGCTTTATAGAATAAGTTTCCATGTCCAAGCAGCTGCATCCAAGCCTTACATCACCAATTGCAATTCAAAGCGTCGGATGCAGTGGTGTAAAGCACGCTGCCACTGGAGTCGTCACATGCCTGATGAAGGGGTCCTGCAAGACTCCGAAACGTTGCCTTGCTGTAACTATGTGATCATTCATTAAAACTTTTGGACTCATATTGGTGATCCTCGGTGTGCTGGTGACATTTTCCCTCTCTGGAGTGATGAACCACGCTTCTCTTCTGGCAATCCAATGGACGTGTCTGGGTTTGACAGCTGCCATGAGAACGGTACTTGCCTGACCGCATTGTGCCAAGTGTAAAGTTTGGTGGAGGGGGGATTATGGTGTGGGGTTGCTTTTCAGGGGTTGGGCTTGGCCCCATAGTTCCATGTGAAGGAATACCAAGACATTTTGGACAATTTCATGCTCTCAACTTTGTGGGAACAGTTTGGGGATGGCCTCTTCCTTTTCCAACATGTCTGAGGATCAGTGCACAAAGCAAGGTCCATGGATGAGCGAGTTTGGGGTGGAGGAACTTGACTGCATTGAGTCCTGACCTCAACCCGATAGAACACCTTTGGGATGAATTAGAGCGGAGACTGCGAGCCAGGTCTTCTTGTCCAACATCAGTGCCTACCCTCACAAATGCGCTTTTGGAAATGGTCAAACATTCTCATAGACACACTTCTAAACCTTGTGAACAACCTTCCCAGAAGAGTTGCAGCTGTTATAGCTGCAAAGCGTGGGCCAACTCAATATTGAACCCTACAGACTAAGACTGGGATGCCATTAAAGTTTATGTGCGTGTTAAGGCAGGGATCCCCATACTTTTGGCAATATAGTGTGTGTATATATATATATATATATATGTACTGTATGTATATGTACAGTTGTGTTCAAATTAATTGCAGTCAGACATCACTAACCTGATCAATCACTGTTTTTGGTAGAAATGATATTTCTACATGGCAAATAATTTACTAGCAGGTATAGTCGAGTAATAGAAATCCAACAGACCCAACAGTCATGACATGCATGCTGCTGATTCTGTGTAATTGAATCACTAATTGAAAGGGGCATGTTCAAAATATTAGCAGTGTGGAGTTCTAATAGTGAGGTCATTCATTCTTTGAAAAACAGGTGGCAATTATTGCCCTTATTTAAGGAACGAAGGCAGCAAATGTTGTACATGCTGGTTACAGACATTGTTCAGAAGTACAGCGTACCTTGATTAAAAAGTTGATTGGAGAAGGGAAAACATATAAAGAAGTGCAGAAAATGATAGGCTGCTTAGCTAAAATGATCGCAAATGCTTTAAAATGGCAACCAAAACCTGAAAGACGTGGAAGAAAGTGAAAAACTACCATTCGAATGGATAGAAGAATAGCCAAAATGACAAGGACTCAGCCAACAATCAGCTCCAGGAAGATCAAAGAAGGTCTAAAGTTACCTGTGAGTACTGTTACAATTAGAAGACGCCTATGTGAAGCCAAGCTATCTGCAAGAAGCCCCTGCAAAGTCCCACTGTTGAAAAAAAGACATGTGCTGAAGAGGTTACAATTTGCCAAGGAGCACATTGACTGGCCTAAAGAGAAATGGCGCAACATTTTGTGGACTGATGAAAGTAAGATTGCTCTTTTTGGGTCTACTGACCAGAGACAGTTTGTCAGACGACCCCCAAACACTGAATTCAAGCCACAGTACACTGTGAAGGCTGTGAAGCATGGTTGCGCAAGCATCATGATATGGGGATGTTTCTCATACTATGGTGTTGGGCCTATTTATCGCATATCAGGGATCATGGATCAGTTTGAATACATCAGAATACTTGAAGAGGTCATGCTGCCTTATGCTGAAGAGGAAATGCCCTTGAAATGGGTTTTCCAACAAGACAACAACCCCAAACACACCAGTAAACGTGCAACATCTTGGTTGCAGACCAACAAGATTGACGTTATGGAGTGGCCAGCCCAATCCCCGGATCTTAATCCAATAGAAAACTTGTGGGGTGACATCAAAAATGCAGTTTCTGAGGCAAAACCAAGAAATAGAGAACTGTGGAATGTAGTCCACTCATCGTGGGCTGGAATACCTGTTCACAGGTGCCAGAAATTAGTTGACTCCACGCAACACGCAATTAAGTGATTCAAAGGACAGCAAAATCTTCAAAACATTTTTCAGTTTATATAGTGAATGTTTGAGTTTGTAAAGAAGAATTCAAACACTGCTATTTTTTTGAACAGTCTAATATTCACTTTTCTTCAATTTTTTTAGAGGAACAACACAAATTTGATATCTTTTTCTTCATGTTTTGATTTGGAATAGAATGTGTAGTGTTCCCAATGCATTTGTGTGTATGGAAATAAAAGCTATTAGAAGGATTTTGAGCTTTTTTCACTTTTTTCAACACACTGCTATTATTTTGAACACAACTGTGTGTGTATTTATTTATATATATATATATATATATATATATATATATATATATATATACAGTTTCTCACAGGAGTGGGTACACCGCTCACATTTTTGTACATATTTTATTATATCTTTTCATGTGACAACACTGAAGAAATGACACTTTGCTACAATTTAAAGTAGTGAGTGTACAGCTTGTATAACAGTGTAAATTTGCTGTCCCCTCAAAATAACTCAACACACAGCCATTAATGTCTAAACTGCTGGCAACAAACGTGACTACATCCCTAAGTGAAAATGTCCAAATTGGGCCCAAAGTGTCAATATTGTGTGTGGTCACCATTATTTTCCAGGACTGCCTTAACCCTCTTGGGCATTGAGTTCACCAGAGCTTCACAGGTTGCCACTGGAGTCCTCTTCCACTCCTCCATGATGATATCATGGAGCTGGTGGATGTTAGAGACCTTGCTCTCCTCTGCCTTCCATTAGAGGATGTCTGACAGATGCTCAATAGGGTTTAGGTCTGGAAACATGCTTGGCTAGTCCATCACCTTTACCCTCAGCTTCTTTAGCAAAGCAGTGGAGGTGTGTTTGGGGTCATTATCATGTTGGAATTCTGCCCTACGGCCCAGTCTCTGAAGGGAGGGGATCATGATCTGCTTCAGTATGTCACAGTACATGTGTGCATTAATGGTTCCTTTAATGAACTGTAGCTCCCCAGTGCCGCAGCACTCATGCAGCCCAGACCATGACATGACACTCCAACCACCATGCTTGACTGTAGGTAAGGCACACTTGTCTTTGCACTCCTCACCTGGTTGCTGCCACACACGCTTGACACCATCTGAACCAAATAAGTTTATCTTGGTCTCATCAGATCACAGGACATGGTTCCAGTAATCTATGTCCTTAGTCGGCTTGTCTTCAGCAAACTGTTTGTGGGCTTTCTTGTGCATCATCTTTAGAAGAGGCTTCCTTCTGGGACAATAGCCATGCACACCAATTTGATACAGTGTACGGCTTATGGTCTGAGCACTGGCAGGCTGATCCCCCCACCCCTTCAACCTCTGCAGCAATGCTGGCAGCACTCATACTGTATATATACAGGTAAACATCAAAAAATTAGAATATCGTGCAAAAGTTCATTTATTTCAGTAATGCAACTTAAAAGGTGAAACTAATGTATGAGATGGACTCATTACATGCAAAGCAAGATAGTTCAAGCCATGATTTGTCATAATTGTGATGATTATGGCTTACAGCTCATGAAAATCACAAGTCCACGATCTCAGAAAATTAAAATATTGTGAAAAGGTGCAATATTCTAGGCTCAAAGTGTCCCACTTTAATCAGCTAATTAAGCCATAACACCTGCAAAGGGTTCCTGAGCCTTTAAATGGTCTCTCAGTCTGGTTCAGTAGGAATCACAATCATGGGAAAGACTGCTGACCTGATAGTTGTGCAGAAAACCATCATTGACACCCTCCATAAGGAGGGAAAGCCTCAAAAGGTCATTGTAAAAGAAGTTGGATGTTCCCAAAGTGCTGTATCAAAGAACATTAATAGAAAGTTATGTGAAAGGGAAAGGTGTGGAAGAAAAAGGTGCACAAGCAGCAGGGATGACCGCAGCCTGGAGAGGATTGTCAGGAAAAGGCCATTCAAAAGTGTTGGGGACTTTCACAAGGAGTGGTCTGAGGCTGGAGTCAGTGCATCAAGAGCCACCACACACAGATGGATCCTGGACATGGGCTTCAAATGTCATATTCCTCTTGTCAAGCCGCTCCTGAACAACAAACAATGTCAGAAGCGTCTTACCTGGGCTAAAGAAAAACAGACCTGGTCTGTTGCTCAGTGGTCCAAAGTCCTCTTTTCTGATAAGAGCAACTTTTGCATCTCATTTGGAAACCAAGGACCCAGAAGTCCTGCTTGAAGTCCAGTGTGAAGTTTCCACAGTCTGTGTTGATTTGGGGAGCCATGTCATCATCTGATGTTGGTCCACTGTGCTTCATTAAGTCCAGGGTCAATGCAGCCGTCTACCAGGAGATTTTTGAGCACTTCATGCTTCCTTCTGCAGATGAGCTTTATGGGGATGCTGACTTCATTTTCCTGCAGGACTTGGCACCTGCCCACACTGCCAAAAGCACCAAAACCTGGTTCAATGACCGTGGGATTACTGTGCTTGATTGGCCAGCAAACTCGCCTGACCTGAACCCCATAGAGGATCTAGGGGCATTGCCAAGAGAAGGATGAGAGACATGAGACTGAACAATGCAGAAGAGCTGAAGGCCACTATTGAAGCATCCTGGTCTTCCATAACACCTCAGCAGTGCCACAGGCTGATAGCTTCCATGCCACGCCGCATTGAGGCAGTAATTGGTGCAAAAGGGGCCCAAACCAAGTACTGAGTA